CACTTGCTTGCCGGCAAGCTACTCCTCGTCGTGGCGATTCACTCACTTGGAGGTTCACGTGCTAATTGGCATCACACGCCAAACCCTCAATAGAGTGCCGCACAACCAACACAAGATGAGGATCACACAAGCCACGAGCAATCCACTAGAGTACCTTTTGGCTCTCCGCCGGAGAAAGGTCAAGAACCCCTCACAATCACCACGATCGGAGCCGGAGACAATCACCACCCTCCGCTCGATGATCCTCGCTGCTCCAAGCCGTCTAGGTGGCGGCAACCACCAAGAGTAACAAGTGAATCCCACAGCGAAACACGAACACCAAGTGCCTCTAGATGCAAACACTCAAGCAATGCACTTGGATTCTCTCCCAATCTCACAAAGATGATGAATCAATGATGGAGATCAGTGGGAGGGCTTTGGGTAAGCTCACAAGGTTGCTATGTCAATGCAAATGGCCAAGAGTGTGATCTTGAGCCGGCTATGGGGCTTAAATAGAAGCCCCCATGAAATAGAGCCGTTGTACCCCTTCACTAGGCACAACGCGGGGTGATCGGATGCTCCGGTCTGATCGACCGGACGCTGGACCTCAGCGTCCGGTCACGTGATGCGTGCCACGTGTCCCTCTCTTCAAATACTGTACGCCTGATCTCAACGGTCATCGGATGACCGGACGCTGCAGCAAAAGTGACTGGACGCTGGACCTCCAGCGTCCAGTCGTTTCCAGTAAGGTTCCAGAAACGATTTTTCTCGACCGGACGCGTCCGGTCACCCTTGACCGGACACAGCCAGCGTTCGGTCACTCAGCAACTCTTCTGTGCACTACCTGACAGCATGACCGGACGCAGCCTTCTAGCGTTCGGTCGCTGAGTGACCCAGCGTCTGGTCACTTCCAGTGACCTCCGTCTTTTCTGTCTAGGGCACCGGTGGCACCGTCGGACTGTCCGCACTCTACGGGCAGACACTCTGCCGGTGAAGTTCCTAACCCTTGCTCAAATATGCCAACCACCAAGTGTATCACCTTGTGCACATGTGTTAGCATATTTTCACAAACATTTTCAAGGGTGTTAGCACTCCACTAGATCCTAAATGCATATGCAATGAGTTAGAGCATCTAGTGGCACTTTGATAACCGCATTTCGATACGAGTTTCACCCCTCTTAATAGTACGGCTATCAATCCTAAATGTGATCACACTCTCTAAGTGTCTTGATCACTAAAAACAAAATGGCTCATATCATTTATACCTTTGCCTTGAGCCTTTTATTTTTCTCTTTCTTCTTTTCAAGTCCAAGCACTTGATCATCACCATGGCATCACCATTATTGTGTCATGATCTTCATTTGCTTCACCACTTGGAATGTGCTACCTATTTCATGATCACTTGATAAACTAGGTTAGCACTTAGGGTTTCATCAATTCACCAAAACCAAACTAGAGCTTTCACGCCTGCTTGACCCCGAGGCCCCTTCTCCTCCTTCTTGTCCTTGTCGCCACGTGGACGCCGGTGACGTTCCTTAGAGTAGCCGGATGGTCCGAATCCTTCCTCCTCCTCCTTCTCAAAGGTGCGCCACTGCTCCATCATGTATAGTAGCTTGCCTTCGGCGGTGCTTGGCTCGGTATGAGGCCCCTCATCGCGATCCTGCACCGCCTTGAGCCTCCTAGTCACATCCTCGACGGTGAGCTGCTCGAAGTTGAGGAGCGTCTTGGTCGACATGATGATCTACGTGTACATCCTCGGCATGCAGAGGAGGAATTTCTCCACCGCGCGCACCTCCGTGAGGTCGGTGTCGCCGTTGCGCGCCATCAGCTCCATCAAGTTGGTCAGGCAAATGGCAAAGTCCTTGACTTGATCACCCTGTTGAAAGGCGAGGCCTTCCCACTCCCATCGAAGGCGCTGCAACGTCACTCAGCGCACACAATCTCTGCCAACGCGCGCCGCGTCGATCGACTCCCACGCCAGCTTCATCGTGGCCTTGTTGGCGATGGAGGCACCAAGCTTGGTGGGGATGGAGGCACACAACGCCTCCAACACCCGACAATCATCGTCGTAGTCGACACTGCCGATGTGGACCGCCTCCCACAGCCGCCGAGCCTGCAGCTTGACCTTCATCAGCAAACTCCACTCGTGGTAGTTTGACTTGGTGAGCATCGGCCATGGCGTTCCCGCTCTGGAGTCGCGGTATACTGTCTACAGCACTAGAGAGCGACCGTGGCGACCATGACGCCGCTCTAGTGACGGCGATTGGCGGCGGCGCCCAATCGGGCAGCACAATCCTCCGGCTGGCTCCGACTCCTGCTCCATCTTGGCGCGCAGCGCCGCAGCGGCAACCACCGCGGATTGAGCCGCAACCGCAGCCTGCCTGGCCGTCTCGACCGCCGTCGTAGCCGCTGCCTCTATGACAGCGAGGCGCATCATGTGGTCGTCGGCTCCTGCTACATCACCGCCGGGGTTGATCACCACATCGGCGCTCCGATACCAATTGTTGGCCCGATTGGATCTTAGATTCAGATATGGGAACTATCAGATGGCAGCTTGGCCCTTGGCCGCTTGGATTGAAGGGAAATGCAATGGCTTAGTTTTTACAATGACACTCCCTTGCCTTTTGTAGACATGGGGACTTCCACTTGCTATAGCATATTCTAACCATTAAAGTAGATGCTAAGCATATTTCTAACACTAGGCTTGGAAGCCAAGGAAAATAAAAATGCAGGAAAAATAAGACACAAGTGCTTTAGCACTAGGCTTATCTATCATCCATTACTCACAAAATTGATGAATGTGTAACACTGATTAAGATGAGGAGGAAGCAGAAGACTGGTGCCTAAAAATGAAATCTCAACTCATGATTTCTCGAAAATGCATTCGATATATACGTGATGCCAAGCAAACGAACTATTATGAATTTTCAACCAGTGCTGTTGAAAACTCTAATTAGGAACTGCTTGCCACCACTGCTGTTGTGCCACTCCTACTTCGATGGTTTTCAACATCCAGGTGTGCTCTCACCTTTGATGGAGTCCATGCAATCAGAGTTGGTAGAACTTGATTGCAGTTCGTTTGGACAGAGTGATGCAGCCTCTCGAGGAGGAGGCTTACACATTGTAGGGCCCCTTTTGAACGTAGGAATAATACAAGATTTTCACATAAATCAGTTTATTTTCACATGAAAAACACAGGAAACTTAAAATTTTCCCGTGTTCTAAAGAGGGCCTTAAGGGAAGTTGTGGCGGGCAAATGTGGCCACCCAATTTGGTGTGTGCAGAGCCTCATGGAGAGCATACGAGCTTTTTGGGCCCTGTTCTCCTGTTCACCGCTTTGGTGTGTGAGGATACACGTGTGAACACTCTAGACTCCATTGTTGATGAGATGGACACTAGAACTTTTGTTGCAGCTCATAGAGACACAGGCTCTATCTCCAATGATGTGGCTATAAAGTTGTGCAACATAGAGATCCATCAAAAGATGCCCTTAGAGCAGGTCATCCAGGTGCCCTCATGGACTGCCACTGTTCCGATGATATATCATACGTTGCTTCAAGTCATCACTTTTGTCGATGATTTTGTTCTTGTGGAGGATGCATTTAATGACGAGCAAAGTATCTTAGATACACATTTGACAGTTGAGGATCCTGTCTTGCTCATTACCATTGAAGATGGCCCTTGAATTTCTATGCTTGAGGTCAAGGCAACATGAGTCTCAGTTCATAGAGGATCCGATGGTAAAGGCAACATATTCTTTGTCCACCATAGCTAGAATGGGCGTTGGCCTTGCATCCCCTCCTATTCTTCCTTCTTCGTCACCAACCATCGGCGTAAGTCCTATGATAGATTGTCACTTCATAGAAGTGTCCGCCATGCATAGCGTAGTGTTTTAAAAGATTTGGGTATTGTTGAGAATGATGAAGAACCCAATGAGGATGTAATTCGAGACAACGCAGATCACCTTTAGGAACTATTATTGTCGGACCATCTCAACCCTTTGATGGGGTTAAAGTGTCGAGCCTTCCGACCTTTCAGGACTTGTTAGTGGAGGTTTCTTTGCCTTTTCGTTACTTTATCTTATTTCTGGTTGTTGTTATTCTTGTAGCTGTGTTGGTGTTACGAGTGGTTTGTTGTTGACAGAGTTGTCCTAGCTGTTGTAGTCGTCGTTTTTTTTAAAGAACTAGCAGGAGCTCTTCCTTCCAATTAAGCAAAAAAGAATTTATGTACAAGAATGTGGCTTAAACCATTGATCATAGGGAATCGCCCTCGCAATCTGCACTCCCGGTCTACGGTCTACTACACCCTCGGAACACGCAAATACACCCCCCCCCCAAAAAAAAACGGGAAAAGCTAGTCTACCCTTGCAAATCTAGCACGTACCTTTCTCTATTGTACTAAACATCCTTTTGTTTTTTCGGCGACCTGTAGCACAGTGAGGTACTCATTTTCAAATAATCTTCTGTTGCGCTCTATCCAAAGGTTTCACGTTATATAGACGGTCGTACCATTAATATTGCATCTTTGGCTTCTGTGTATTTACTTGGCCACTATGACCCACCATCTCTAATGTTGTCGACATTTGTGGGGATGCATACTAAGGGATGATGAAACCCATGCCTCACGCCATTGTTTAGTAACCCCCTTCAGGTGCCATTGTTTGCCTAGTCTATATCTTCTTCTTTATTAATACTAGAAAAGGATGCGCGCTTCGCGGCGCCCTACCAGCGAAATTGTAAAACAATGGTAAAATATCTCCAGCCAAATTTATCCAATGCCAAAAGATATTCATAGATTATATAGAACTTATATGCAACTTGTTATAGGAATTCATCCAGCAATCTGCAAGACCATCAAACAGACAAGTAGTCCAGGAAAATAGTTTTAGCTAATCATAGCAGAAATGGATCAAGAGTGGTGTGTATCAATATAAACTCAGCAAATATTGCATCACAACTTGTTAAAGAACAAAGCACTGAACTACAAGCGTGATCAGGACATGCTCACTGATGATATTGAGCTTAATCTGTAACAGAGAACAGAGAGCTATAAAAATTACCATCTTTGAACAATAACAATTAAGCTACATCTTAAAATAGATCCTTGTAGCCATAGGGTTCTGTTTACCCATATATTACATTTGACACCAGAATTCATGCTACCAATATTATTAGAAGGTAGTTTAGAGTATACTGGTTTAAGCCTACATCCGAAGCACTAAAATAATTCGTGATGCTAATAGAGAAAAGGAAGCACACAGTTTGCAGCATACAACCATGTTGATCACCTAGATATCCAGTCTGACTACAATAGTAGCAGGGTAGTCTAAACAGTCAATGCCTGTATCCCATCTTGATGAAGCCAAGTCGTGGAACCCTATCTGTCTGAGGGAGTGACGCAACAGCGATGATGCCTGTCATCTAATAGAAACCTACAATAGAAGACACTACATGCTGATAAGAAAAGTAGATAAACTTATTCGTTGGCCCAGAATGTATAAAAAAGAAATACAGAGATATAGTAATCAATATACCTTGCCACACTTCTGTCGTGCTAATATTGATATTTGCGTAGATTGTAGTTCAAAAGGTCCATACTTGCAGCTTCATCTTTAGACAAATATGGCAAAATGTGTGTGCTCCAGATAACACACATATCAAAAGGGCTGACCGCAAATAGGGATACAAAATGTGTGTGCTCCTTTTCAAGCAACTAAGCATCTGTGTTTGCACTGGAATTAGAAAAACATTAGACACATACATGTGGATATGTGTATGTTTAACAAGTATGAAGGAGCAAAGAATTACCTAGGCTCAGCAGAGCCATCTGCAAAGCCTTGATCGGTGTCACCCCCTGCATCTTCATCAGTGAACAACTTCTTTGCAGCTTTCTTGTTTGGCGAAGGACACGACCTAAAAAGTGAACCATTATGTTTCCAAGTAATTAAGGCCATAACATGAAGGAAAAGGTACAATTTTTTTTTATTAGTACAGCTAACCTTTTTTCGTAGCACTGTTCTGTGTCTTGGTTGTTGAGGAGCCACCTGATGCATCTGCATCTACTCCAAGATTTTCAGCAATCTAAGGCAACACACACACAGGAATAAGTGGTCGTGTCCCATTTCACTTTTCATAACAATTAACACACATGTGGCAAGTTTGAATAGATTTGCTATATGGAACATAGACATCTAACTTCAAACATATAAAATTCATGCATTTATATATGTTGTTCTAAAAAAAACAGAATAGGTTTGAAAGTAAACTTAACTATATTTATCTCAGCTATATTGTCCTGTGTCGGTGCTGGTGACTTCTCAAGTGTTTCTGGAGCATCGACAGCCTCTGATGAGAGTAAAGTCTTGGCACTTGTGTCAGGAGTGGTCTGCATATCACATAATTGATGCAATAAATAGTTAGATAGGTGGGTTACAAATGCAAAGCCATACCTTAAACAAAAATGAGTATCTTCATGAGAAATCATATACCTTGTATTCAGCAACAGCTTTACCACCTTGTGGTGTTACCGGTGATGAAGGCAAAGTAAGGACTTCGCCTTTCTGTGGAGTACCCTGCATTCTGCTACTTGCATCTTGAGAGAGCATAAGTGACGATTGCTGTGATCCTGCTGGTGACATTGGGAGATGAGTTCCAGTATCTATCTCTGCAATAGTTGCATTGACCTGGAAGGAGACATTTCCAGATTGTATTGTGTACTCGGAGAAGCTGACATTCCATATGAAAACCTTTTCCAAGAGCCTTGTGATCTCGTTTGGAATGAAACCAACTAGATTCCCAGCAATCAATGTATCGACTGACTTTTTGACGAGGCGTTGAGCAACACGTCCAAAGAGAACAAATTCAGTGTCACCTGTCTCATCTCCAGCAAGGATAGAAAGTTTGTACCTATTTGTTGGGTGAGAATGTGTTAGCAAGGTCAGTAAAGGTCAATGAAATTAAACAAGCGTAGGAAATCAGAACATCCAGCTATTAAGAAGAAAGTGAAGGAAGATGTCATCTGACCTATGGTCAGGCACGCCAATGGTACTTGTAACACCCTAAAATTTGCAATATTTTAAAATAGGAGAATTTGATTTATTATACATTTTTGTGGGCATTTGAATTTAGGAAAATAATAATTTTGTTAAAAATAAAATCAAATATAAGGTTACCTATATGCATGTGCATTCATGCTGCTGCATAGTATTTTTGAATTGTGTGATTGAAATCAAATTTCAAATTGATTTGGATTTGCATTCAAAACTTGTTTGGAAATTAGTTTAGAAAATGGAAATGTATTTTTTCTCTTCTTTCCCCTGAATTCGGCCCGCCGTAGCTGGTTGGCCTGCTTTCCTCGGCCTGCTGGCCAGCCACTCCCTTTCTCCTCCCCGTTCGAGCCGAAGCCGCGCCGGCCCATCTTCCGCGCCGCCCGCTCCGCACCGGCCCAGCCGAACGCGCCGGCCCAGCCAGACGTCGCGCCGCGCTTCCTCTCCCCGCTCCACTGACAGCGCTGGCCCGCCTGTTAGGTATTCTTCCTCCTCCGTCTCTTGTTCACCTCGGACACCTCCGCATCGCCGCCGTCCGTGTTCGTTACGCGCGGGTGCCGTGTCGCCCACGTCTCCGCGCCCTCAAATAGTCGCCCGAGCTTGCGCCGCCTCCCTATCCCACCTTGCAGCGAGATTTTCGTCCCCGCGCAAGCTCGCAGCCGCCTAACCTAAGCGCCGCCGCGAGAGCCGGCCGCCTCGTCGATCCCCGCGCCCACCGTTCTTTCTCCACCGCTGAGGTAACCCTAGGTGAGACCGCCGTCGCCCCCTCTCTCTCCCAGACCGTCCCGTTCGAAAAACCGTGCTCCGTAGGCCCTAAATGAATGTCGCTGGCGAGCTTCCTATGTCCGGCCATGGCGCCGCCGTCACCCACCTCGCCGCCGGCCACCTTCACCCGCCCGATCCAATCACGGCCATCAAACTCTAATCCAACGACCCAAGATCAAAGTTACCCCTTCGCTGCGAGATTTACAAAAACCCCCTTATAAATATTTGAGGATTAACTCGCAGTCCAAAACGTCTTTCCAGATTTCGTTTTCTTCTTTTGAAAGCGTACTTTGTTTCGGTTAGATTGAAAATACGTTTTCAGCTATTTACAGTTCTGCCACTAGATTTGTTTAGGCCATAACTTTTTCGTTTTAACTCCGATTTGATCCGTTCAACTTGCGTTAGGTTCGTAATTTCATAATCTACATGTTCATACTACTGTTAAGTTTTCAACTTTTAAGATTCGAGGTTAGATTTAATATATTATTTTACTATAGGAAATCTTGTTTAATTCATAACTACTTCGTTTTAGCTCCGATTTTTGTGATCTTCGCGTCTGTGTGGTCGTAGCGAGACGTAGATTCGTTTTACAAACTTTTCATCTTGATTTTATGCTGATTGGTGTACTATTCTAATCTATAGCTTTTGTTTGCTATGCATGATTGTATGGATGCCTGTGTGGTGCTGTTTGACCTCAAGTAGACTGTGAGTTTTGTGTTGGTGATCTGGAGCAACTCTTTGAAGATCAAGACCAGCATCGATACTTTGAATTAATGCAAGTATAATATGAGGCTCCTTGTTACCTATTCACTTTAATGCAATCTCAATTCATATGCATATGTTAATGAACCGCTTGGAGTCCTTTTGGAGATGACTCCATAACACTTGGGAGATGGAATCCTTAGCGGCTGCTCCTTATTAGAACGATTGGGGAAAAGCTTCGTAGTGTACCCTGCCTGCTCACCTTGGAAGTGTTTTGGGAGTAATTAACCCAGGCATATGGGCAACACGACTCGTGGTGAAAGTGTACAACCTCTGCAGAGTGTAAAACTGATATATCAGCCGTGCTCACGGTCGCGAGCAGCCTGGATCCCTACTGAATAGTTGGTTACTTAGATGGTTTGGGTTATGATTAAAATAGCTGATATCTCTAATTATTCATATTTGGGAGTCTAAGCATAACTTAGCAACTTATGATTAATAATAAAATGTGACCAACTAAAAGTGCTTACCGCAGTTCAACCGTGTCAAGCCTTTTGAGCCTGCATCCCCTCATGTTATGCTTGCTAAGCGGTAGTAGCTTACGCTGGTTTCTTTTCAATACTTTGACAAAATCCCGGATGGGTACCAGATGGAGGTTCTTCAGTGGAGTTTTTCAAGAGGTGTTTAGCTTGTGATCAACCAGTTGACGATTCCTGTGGTGTTGGAGGCCTCGCCAGAAGATCAGAGTTATAGTATATATTGTAAAGTAAGACTACGTCTTTTGTAACAAATATTTGTGCGCTAAGTATTTAAGGCATTGTCTTTGATATTACCCCTTCATTTGTAGCTATATGTGTGAATTGCATTCCTGGGCACACATATGATGTGTATCTGGTTTTATCCTTAAAACCAGGTGCTACAGTACCACATTGTGGGTCGATGCATTTGTAGGAGTCACCATGAGGTATGGCTGTGTGAAGACATTTCTTGCACGAGTTGTAGCATCATGACTTGTCAATCTTCTTAATTGTCACTGTAACCAAGAACTCCTTTTTCTGCATTATAAGGAGGTAATAAAAGAGGTCACGGAATGGACATAAGATTACAGACAGGAACTTTGAGAAGCAAGAAACGACCTTGTTTTGAAAGGGATTGAGATAAATTATATCAGAGATTTTTTTATCCTCAAGAGCAACAGTGGGCTCCCTTGAGGTGAGGAGTTGATTCCATTTTATTGGTTTGTGTACGCTTCTTGCACTGGTTAGTTAGAACAATTGAGCATTCATTCGTTAGGATAAAATAAGTTGGCTACCAGCTGCATCTATCCAACATACAGATGAGAAGACTACCTGGCCATGAGGCTCTTTGCTTCAGGCACATCTGGATTAATGTACCATTTGCATGGTGACCCCCCTGACAAACACAGGCCATCTGAAACACAAGACGTTAGATTTAGACATGTAATATATTTTTTAGTTTAATGCACCATTCGTAGATATACGACTTGTATTATCACAGTGGCATCCTGATCACCATACAAATAAAGAGTCGCCATCTAGAACTAACCTTGCACTGTGTATAACAATAGTCCTTTTTAAGCTGTCAACCTGTCGTCCTCTTGTCCGCAGGGACGTAACACTTGAGACAGAGATAACTATCCCAATGACATCTATTTTGAGTAACAACAGTTATTGTATCATTACTGTAGAAATAGATTATCAAGAGTACAAACAAACTGTATAAATATACCTGTGTAGTGCTCCTTCTGGTCAACACGCGTTTGCACTTGCTCTATCGGAGTAAGGGAGGAGTAGGTATATGTAGGAAAAGCCGGTGGGATCTCAACAACCTCCTCCACTGAAGTCCATCTTGTAAAGTTGATCATGCTAGAATTTGGAACTGTGTTGTAATTCATGTTTGACTTCTTGACTTTGAAATATGTGATGTTGTAGACTGTGCCTTCTTTTAATAGAGGTTTGAAACTCTATCAGAGGTGGGTAGATCTGCGCATGTATGGCGTGTCCCTGGCCAAAAGAAAAACCCTTAGAACTAATAGCGCAAGAAGTTGTACCATAGTAAATATAAGCATAACCATTTACAGATGTTACTTATTCAGATTAGACTAATTTCTTATGGTGTTCTACCTATTCAGCTGTGTCCATAGTGAACCTACCAAGTCTCTAATACTTTGAGTCATAATCTCCTACCATCTTTTTACAGGAATGTGGCATAACCAATCTGACCAGAGTTGAACCTAGGTCATGAAATTCATAAAATCTAATCTCATAAAAATTGTTAGAACCTTTCCCCCAAAACCTAGAACATGAATTTAGTAAAACCATTTCTTAAATTCATGTTAGTCTACGAAGGTAAAGGGTACTTTATACCTCTTCATCGATCAGCACCAGATCAGTGTGTAGTATCTTGGTCTCATCCTGGGGATCACAGAAATCCCAAAGCCTAGAAGCACGCACGCATATGGGTGCACAGCAGTCTCCAATCATAAGACTTGGAATCAAAGCATCAGCCATCTGAACGAATAGAAAAACGTATAGATTTTAGGGGATATTTATAAGAACCTGGATTAGGTAAAGTTCTGTAAATCTTCAACATGCAAGGACAAGACTACCTTGGAGCAGAGCATAAAACATGAATTAGCCCTAGGTGGATAGACAAAACATACAAAGACGAACAAAACCAACCCAGCCAACAACTGCTAACAAATATTTACACATGAACGCTTTGTACAGATTAGAATCGGATCATATACCAAAAGTCCTAAGCTGACTGCATTAACGGCATCAAGGACCTCTCGGTACACTACGTTTCGAGTCTGCGAGCCGCATGAACCATCGTCATTCTCAATCAAAATTCTGAGGCCACTCCTAGACGTAGATCTCGAAACAACAACATAAAGTTGACCGTGTGTAAAGACAGGTTTCTTCAGGTAAAGGCCAACCCTCGACAGGGTCTGCCCTTGGCTCTTATTTATCGTCATTGCATAGCATATTCGTACCGGAAACTGCCTTCTTTGCAGCGTGAAGGGCCACTTCACATCTGTTGTATTAAGTGCTACTGTTATGACCGGCATCTCTTACACGCGACGAAGGAGCTAGGCACCATAGCAGCTACCCTTGGTATAAAAGCTTTCTCACCAACATTGGAGCCTGTTAGTATTATGCATTGTAGAAGGCGCTGCCCAAGTTCAGTAACAAGCAGTCTTGTGCCATTACACAGACCTATATTCTGGTTCAAGTTCCACAAGAGCATTACAATAACACCTTTCTTTAGCACAAGTTTATGGCAGGGGAAATTGTTTGCATCAATTGAATTTAAAAATTCAGTAGGGTAAAGTATATCAAAATCTGGTATGTGCTCAGATGACTTTGCTATTGTATCACAGCTTAAGGTAATGTGTACTATCTCCAGGGAGCATGGAGACGATGTAATCGTTTATTTCATCAACTGTCATATTATTTGGGCAAACAATCGCACGTGAGGCCAAATACACTGGATCCTTATAGTTTGCGAGGAATTCGGGGTACACCTCAGAAACAAGGGCTGCTATCTTATCGCCTTCAGTTTGAATTAGCAAATCATCAGGAATAGCAACCCACGAAGCTTCACACTCTTCCCCCGTTTTTATGGCAGGGACAGTACCATCACCAATGGCTAAATCTCATTTGCTAAATTTCTCTAGCTCATTACGATCATCTCCTTGTAAGGACGGGTTAACAAGTCGCATGTTGGTACGCAATCTAAGAAGGGCAACATGCTGCCACAGTCTAGAGTTTGTAATAGATGCATTGACTATGGAAGATCGAGATCCTTTGCGCACAACGGGTAGAATCTGGCGAAAATCACCTCCAAGGACAACAGGCTTGCCACCAAATGGGACAATTGCATTCGCAGGGTTATGTTCAGAAAGAATATCTCTCATAGTTCTATCTAAAGCTTCAAAGCAACATCGATGTGTCATTGGTGCCTCGTCCCATATAATGAGAGAAGATACTTGTATTCAGCAATCATAGTACCTCTTTTTACATTACACGTGCTAGCATCAGCTATGTCGAAAGGAATCTTGAACCTCGAATGTGCAGTACGTCCTCTTGGTAGTAGCAAAGATGCTACACCCGATGAAGCTACTACAAGAACTATTTTCTTTTCAGATCTTAATCTCGCAATGATAGCATTCCACAAGAATGTTTTGCCTGTGCCACCATGGCCGCACACAAAGAAAAAGCCAGGAGATCCACTAAGAACACGTTGAGTTATCACATCATATACATTTTTTTGGTCTGTGTTCAATTGTAAAACCAAAGAGGCAGCATGCATGGATAGCATCAAGGGTTCAGCATCAAGTTCATCATTAATTAGTCTGTTGTCGCTTATGCCATAAGTTTGTGTTGTGTGCTTTGGAAGGTTATCACTACTGGAAACGCGTGCTTTGCCGAGGGCCTGAGGATTTGCCGAGGGCCAAATCTCGGGCACTCGGCAAAGACACTCTTTGCCGAGGGTCAGCCACAGAGCCCTCGGCAAAGAACGGCCCTCGGCAAAGAGGCCTTTGCCGAGGGTACGGCCCTCGGCAAAGACAGGCCCTCGGCAAATCAAATCTTTGCCAAGGGCCGCGGCCCTCGGCAAATTAGGCCCATTGGGTCACGGCGGCCATTTCCCGTCAAGCTTTGCCGAGGGCCACCCGTTAGGCCCTCGGCAAAGGTTTTTTTTTCCTGTGCAATCAGGTTATTCGGCAAAAAAAAAATTTAAGTCTTTGCCGAGGGCCCTAGACCAGGCCCTCGGCAAAGATTTTTTTAAAACCAGTTTTTCTGCCAAATTTTTTTTTTATAAATCGCCTTTTGCCGAGGGCCCGAGGCTAGGCCTCTCGGCAAAGCCCTTTTATTTTTAGGCCCTCGGCAAAAATTTTTATTTTTTTAAAAATTTTTTTGCGAGGGCTCTAAGAAAGAGCCTCGGCAATTTTTTTTTTTTTGGTTTTTTAGCCCATTTTTTTGTGGTGCTACAATACATTGTTTTGAACTCAATTTTAAAATTTAGGCCAATTTTGATTTTGTTTTGTATATTTTCTTAATTTATTTCGATTCTTTGATTTTTTTCGAATATGTCAAATTTGAACTGCAGGTGCATGGAATATTGCAATGTAGTGTTTCGAAAAATGTTATTCATGTTAATTGGTGCATGTTGAGTCCCTATCCACGACCTCGCATCAAATTTTCACGCATCTTGTTCGCGTAACATGACGACCGACTTGCCGGAAAAGTGTTTTAAAATTATATAAAATCCATACGAAGTCCGAAAATCACGAAACTTGGCGAGATGTCATGTTATCGCATGTGTAGGCTGTGGTAAAAAATTAAGAAGGCTTCGAGTGAGTTGCGACGTCGGATGCCTGAAACCCAGACATCTCCACATGTGATCACCCTTTCGGGAGGAGGTGGCAAACTTCACAACGCTATACTACAAGCCGAACCTTCCTAGCAATCATAATCCACCCTTTCGTTACAATACTGGCGAAAATGAATCGACCCTGAGCCTTTTCCAAGGCCAACTCGGCAGCGCAAGTGGATCAACCCCAAAGCTATTGGGAAATGAAGAGTGGCGCAGTATCATGCTATATGTGTTGAATAACCTTACCGAGGTGCAGCCGTTCATCAAGTAAGTTCTCAACGAACTTATTTCAATATGCCGTCACTATTCTGCATCCAACCCCATTGATTCTCGTTCGGATAGGGAATTTGTTCGTGAATTCTGGCATCAATCAAGGGATCCTACCTCGCATGAACAAGACACCCTTGTTTCGCGGGGTGCGGGAGCGGGGAGGCCTGATTTCATTTCTTGGTTCAAACAAAAGGTAATGTCCAATTTAGCTCGTACGTTCAATCGTCCAAGGTGATCGTACGTTTGATTAATATAACGATCTTTCATGATTCACCTTGCAGGCCCAGACCGATTCGTCCCATGAGCGACGAGTTGAAACAGGTTGCAAACGGTGTGATGTTAGGTGAAGTCATTTACCGCTATGACGTGAACGGATATCGCTTCCACACAACAAGTTACAAGCGATTCGCCCAAACGAAAAACCACAAATAGCGAAGTTTGTACGCCTTAAGACCGATGGCCTCGACTATCATGGTAGAGTTGAGGAAATCTATGAACTCTCATTTCATGGAGACGAACTTCTTACACTGTCATGTTCAAATGCCACCGGTTTAATCCTCGATCAACAAGACGAACCACTCATCTTGGGCTAGTGGAGATTCGAGAAGATTTCATCTATCCCGGAAAAGATGTCTACATTGTGGCTCAACAGTTAAATGCGGTGTATTATACTCGATCGCCAACCAAGACAAAGAGGATCTTAAGGGTTGGGCTATTGTGCACCGTATCTCCACATGATAAACTACACCCCCCAAACGATGATGATTACAACTTCAACGCAAACACATATGATGGCCGGTTCTATCAAGAAGATGGGCTACCAGGCACATTTGAGATAGTCTTACCCGAAGCAATCGAAATGGAAGTAGACAATGAAACGCGGTTGATGACGAGGGTCGATAGAGATGTGGTGGTAAATGCCAAGGACATAGCAATGTTTGAGCGATTACTTCTAGGCAATGACGACGATGACAACATAGAACCTTCGGATAGTGTTGCCCATTTGGACAATTTTGATGTTGATGATGAGACCTATGATCCAATCATGAAGATTATTCCTAATACATGTAATACTATGGTTTTTTAATTTGTGTTTTGTTTATATATTTTGAATCTATTTCTAATATATGTACTAATTAGTCTTGTTCATTCTTTGTGATTGCGGTGATTGGACAAAGATGGCGAGCAGCAGACGTCCACGCCGTGACACGCCCTCGGTTTCTGGGAGAGACCGCCCTCTCCTTCGAGGTGAGGGTCGTCGTCCCGGGTAGCGTCCATGAGGAGGTGACGAGAGGAGGACCAGGGCAGCCGCCGCCGGGAGGCAGGGTCTCCCTCCCTCGACACGTGACGAGGTGCTTGGAGGAGGAGCACGTGATGGCGGCCATGGCCTCATCCTCGTTGGAGGACGAGAGGGGTCAGCAGACGGGCGAGGGAGACGAGGCGCTCGAGGGCGAGGGAGAGGGTACCGCTACCCGGACTCTCTACGAGCGAGGTCCCGTGAGCCTCCCTCCGGTTCTGCTTCCTCACAACCGCTCAAAGGATTCGACCTATGGCAAAGAGGTAAGTAACTATGGATGTTATCACAACTACTTCATAAGATATGTTAGAAATCTTAAGAGAAACTGATAAATTTTCTTAATCACTTGTGCAGGGCTCGGTTGGTTTTGTTTGGGTACTCCAAGACGCACCCCCGAGCATCCTTGGTGTTTTGTGCGAAATGGTACCCGGCATTGTGCAAGCAACCGTCCGAAGAGCCGGTGGTGCGGAGCCGCCTCAATCGGAGACAGTCTGCTACCTGGTCACGGATGACACTTACCGCAACAAGCGAGCGAGTATTGGTGGAGTTTTGGGTCTCTCTCGCATAACATTGCTTAATACATCGCATTCATTGGTTAAATCTTTTATCGAAATAATGAATGGATATATCGGTTTTGTATGCAGAAATATTTCAAGGCCGAAGAAGGACTTGAGGCCCAGACAGATCGGGCGGCTGCCGTAGCTTGTAGGAAGTACGTCACCGAGATGCATCACCATGGGCGCGTCTAGGCCCACATAGACTACTACAGGTCGGTACTTAGGCAGTCCCTCTCCAAGCCTCAAGCAAGACGGATTACGCTGACCCGGGACCAGTACCTTGAGGTAGGCGAATAACATTCATAATGATTCGTTTTGATATTAAGTAGGTTCAATTTCATTTTCTTATATGTCAAATACTCGATGACTTGTAGGTGATTCCCTGGTGGTGCCGATCGTATCCCGAGTGCTGGGCCATGATCGTGGATAAGTGGTTATCATAAGACTTTGTTGACACGCACGAGAGGCGGCGAACAAATGTCACGATGAGGCAAGGTCCAACTCACCATCAAGGCGGTCGTAGCCTCCCGGATACAAACAAGCATACGTAAGTGATTTCTTTCATTTATTTTGACGCTCAATTCGCTTGATTTCTCACCATCTTCCCGTCTTTCTCGAAGGAGGTGCGCAGACCCGGCGAGGAGGTCTCGGAGTTCTCTGCGTGGGCTATGTCCCACATGGGCAGGGCGTCATCCTCTGTCTCCTTCGACCCGGCTGCCCCGCCCCAGGTGTACTCCGATCCGAACGTGTACACTAAAGTCCAAGAGTACACGTCAACGGTAAGGCAGATCTATGGGGAAGATTACAATGTGCGCACTGAGCCCATTGATGCAGAGGCGATCATGAGGCTCGGAGGAGGCAAGAAGCACGGGCGGTCGTGGATTGCGAGACGCGGCGCCATCGACTCCACCACCGCTTCCTCCTCGACACTATCCAAGCACGAGAGCACGAGCTCCAAATGCAATTTCATACGTCCACGGCCTTCTCCAAAGATCAAGCAAAGCGGTCCAAAGCACTCCGTGTAATTCTGTTTTACTCATCGTGCGTGATATTTACACACCTAAATTAGATTTGCAATCTTGATACATTGAGTGAAATATTGCGGTGCCGAGCTGCAAGAAACAAAAGGCAAAGTCAAGAGCGGAACGCGGAGCCGACCGCACACACAGCAGCCCAAAAGGTCGCGTTCGAGGCCGCGCAGAAGCAGATGGCGGAGATGATGGTGATCATGCAAAGTCTTGGGCAAGCATCGGGTGTACTGTGCAAGTTTTCAGCTCCTCCACCTCCTACTCCTGCAGCTACTCCTCTGTAAGTATGAAAGTTCACTTTTCGCTTGTGTTTTGCATGTATGTCGGCCTTCGTGCCGCCAGTGGATGTCGGCGTTAGTGCCGTTGTGGATTTCGGCGTTCAATGTCAGTGTTCTTCTTGAGTTTTGGAAACCTCCCGTGCAGGGAGGTGTTTGCCGAAAATTTTCAATTGAGTCTAATCTTTTGTATTCCTACAATACTAGATGCAATCTCTAAGTTCCAAAACTGTTTTCTCGGATTACTCACACATGCAATCTCTGCTCCTTTGTGCAACTTCCGTCCATGGTTCCAATCAACCCGCTTAGTGCGCCACCGGGTGATCCTGCTTTTCCTTCACCATCGCCTCATAGGCTAGCTTGATGAGGACTCGTGCTAGGTGATGTGGTTGGACTTTAGCGTGATTTGTGATTTATGGTTGTGACTTGTGCTTGGATTTCATTAACTTGTCGTAATAAACATGTGAATGATGATGAACATGTGACTTGTCGTTGTAATATATTGTGATTTGTGGTTCACAATTATGGTTGTGATATATTGTGAGAAAATGGGTTACATGTGATATATATATATGAAATGCTTGTGACGATGGAATGCAAAAAACAAAAAAAATTTAATTTCTCTCTTGCCGAGGGCAATGACCAAGGCCCTCGACAAAAGGGTCCTTTGCCGAGGGCCCAAGCAATAGCCCTCGACAAAGATTTTTTTAAAAAATCCTCGACAATTTCTTTGCCGAGGGCGTGGAGCAGCCCTCGACAAAGGGTTAAAAATTCAAAAAACCATTTCTTTGCCGAGGGCCGCCCTCGGCAAAGGATTCTAAAAAATCTGAAAATTTCTTTGCGAGGGCCGGGGGAGGCCCTCGGCAAAGGTTTTTAAAAAAAATAATTATTATTTGCCGACTTTGCCGAGGGCCGGCCTCGGCAAAGAATTTTAAAAATCCTGAAAATTTCTTTTGCCGAGGGCGGGAGGAGGCCCTCGGCAAAGGTTTTTAAAAAATAAAAAAATTTATTTGCCGAGGGTCGGCCTCGGCAAAAACCGCTAACGCCAACGCCGGCGCTACCGACCTCTTTTTTTTTTCGAGAGGCCGTCTGCCTCGGCAAAGACCCCTTCATTGTGCCTAAAAGGGCCCTCGAAAGATCTTTGCCGAGAGGAGGGGTCTTTGCAAGGCAGCCTTCGCAAAAGCCTTTGCCGAGGGTTTCTGGGCCTTTGCCGAGGGCTAGAGGCCCTCGGCAAAGCATGCGCCTCCAGTAGTATATAGTCATCTATATTGCCACCACTATTAGCAAAGACATCTGTGAGGTTCTGTATAAGCAAAGACATGAGTTGCTCTTGGGGTACAACATAATGTGGGTTTCCGAGTGCAGACCTAAGCCTATGGTGTATATCATCTACAAAGTAAAGCCAATATTTATCAAACAAGGCACGAACATTACCAACCGAGCAGAAAAGCACAATAGTAACGAACAATTGCCTTAGCTGATATGCCGAAGCTGATACAATCTCCTCATCAAACAAAAGATTCCACTCATTATCTCCTTCAAGTAGACCTCGTGCCTCACACGTGTCCCGAAATGTATCGTACACCCTATTATCAAACGTTCTTACATCAGCATAGTTCTTTGCACCTTTAACTATCATAAGTAGCATGCGCAAGTAATACAACTCTCCAGCAACGGGGTGAACATAGTACATACGACCAATTTTAGCGCAAGGTGTTCTTCTACGCTAGAAACGCTCAGATGCATCCCAAGACCATTCTTTTGGGAAGTCACAATACATTAAGTGTCTAGCCTCTTCATGTTTTGAATTAGCTTCAAACCATTCGGTTAACATTGTGCTTTTAGCTGCACGACTCGCTAGCAGCGCATGTAAGTTAGCCCCAGGTTCATATCGCACATGGTTCATGCCAGGAAGATGGACAGCTAGTCGCTCCACTAGAGGCACTCTAAAGTGAATGTCAAATTCGAAAGCACGCCATAGGGCTTCACATGAAGACAGGAATCTAGCATCAATGTACTCTTGTATTTCATCCCGTGGAGCTAATTGAGGTCCAGGTGACGCATTAGATGTCTTAGCAGTAACCTCAAAATATACTCTCGCTCTATCACTTCCTTTTGTAATGTATTTAAAAAGATATTTGATCATGTTTGACTTGTTGCACCACTCAACATTGATGTGCGCATTGTATTTCTTTAATAAGTGCATGTTGTATGGAACAACATTTCTGTTGTCTAAGTTAATGCCATTTTTAGGAACAGATCTACCATCATCTCTCCGTCTGTAGATAGTGAACCCAAAGTCATCTAATACAGTTTCATCTTGGAATGGCTTAGGGAAATTTTTTGAACACTTGTCATCTTTCATGCATGGACACTTTTTATTATAATCACCACATGGACCATGAATCATGAATTCATCAACTAAAGCGTAACCTAGTGGGTCAATATTGACATCAGGAATTTCCGCGCATATGAAACTATCAACAATAGAAGCGCTGAAATCTTTGCTACCATTAGCTAGCCACACAAGGCAGTGTATATGTGGTAGACCACGTTTCTGGAACTCAACAGTGTATAGAACTGCATAAAGAAGACTAATTGTGAGACTCAACACTAATTAATGGAGATGTAGCATATCCTGCCAAACTACTCTACACACTATTACCTGCAAGGACAGGACCAAACATCTTCCCTTCCTTGATATCTGCTATAAACTCATCGACTTTCATATGGAAGACTCTAACGATGAGATCAGAACGATCGCATGGTTGCTGGCCAGGCTCAAAACGTAAAGCATCCGCTATTTCTCTCCACTTAGTGTTGCACGTGAAAGTCACAAAAAGGTCAGGAGGGCCATAAACTCTGCAGATAGCCATTGCATCCTGATAATTCATTACATGATACCTCCTACCACCAGTAAAGCTAGCAGGGACAATTACCCTACCACCAACAGCATCAGCGTCAATAAGACCCTTATCAATGGCATCAGTTATTCCTTGTACCGACTCAGACCGTAGCTCTCCTTGGTGGTCAGCTATATATTGTAGTCTAGAGCCCTCAATTGTCGAGTATGAATCAACATCGATCTGGTCACTCAATCTGCCATAACAAGTGTATGGGTTTGCCTCGTTTAATTTGTAATGCACGTGACGTCTAACAAATTCAAGCATCGTGACATACTTACGTCCAGTCGCATCATCAGCATCAGTATATCTAATACCAAGGTGGAAACTGTATTCACCGTAAGGAAACAACAATGGGTATTGCAAAGCCATATAAGCCGGGTGTAAGCAGGAAACACGCCTTAAGCCATACTCTTTATCGTGCACAAGGACATCATAAGTGTATTCGTCAACTGAGTAGTCACCCACTATAATAACAGCAATCTCACCACTCGAGGGTAAATTGCATTGAACATCATGTCTTGTGTTGCAGTCTAGCAATCGTAGTGTTATCTTTTGGTTACCAGCTTGTTCTAGGCGTTCTTTAGCGAAACGAAATGCTCTAACAAGTTCATAATGCTCATTCAACATATTTAACAGAGATATGGCTACATCTGGGTCCGGCTGATCGGGAGCATTGTCATCCCCCTCAAATATGTCTAATCTATTTTGCGGTTCATGCTCTGTATCGTATATATAAAGTTGTGCAAATTTGGGTCGTGTTCCATGGTGTGGCAGCAAGGTACCTATACGATGATGAACCACTCCATTAATTTTGAATACATAAGGTGCTGTACCATTATTTATCGTTCTGTCAACAGCAGCACCTAGAGATGTGAATGCGAATAGCGAATTGTAAGATCGAATTTGCCTAAGGAACCTTTTTGATCGTATATCGCCATCAAAACGTAATAGGTTAGCTAGGATATAAGGTGGCTTTTTGTAAGGTTTCAAATTAATTTTTCCTCCTTTACAACAAAGGTTGTACATAATTTTTCGTTGTGACACAACAGACGCTCTTTTGACACGCTCCTGGAACCAGAAGACAGCACCACAGTACGGGCATTCGTGTTCTGGGCCTCCATAATACGATCGATCTGGGTACGCATCTACAATGGTACAATGGGAAAGCAATATTGCTGAGAGAACATCAAAGTACACAGTCAACTATAACACAGGAATAGCACACACACCTTTCAAAGCCTCGATGTAGGCTTTATCCAAAGGAAGTATGGTACCACTGGAAGCGTATGACAGATGGTTATACGATCTCCTATAGTGTCTTCTATTGTTCCGATGCTGCCTGTTGGAGGCGGCAGCTTGTGTAGAAAAGGTCATCAAGGTCCTATCTCCTACTTAATGTGAATCTAGATGTATTATCTATCTGTAGATTTTTCCACCTAGAACAGGCATGACTATGCAAGCTATACTCACTTGTTCCTTCCTGAGGAACTGATGGCAGATTAGAGGGGCTTGGCTGGCTAGACATGCACTCCTTATCAGCCATGCATAGCTGTTCACTGTTGGCACTAAAGACTGGGCGTCCGAAGAAGCCTAAGTATTGTCATATCCAATAAGCGTAGGTAAGCTGAGGACAAGCATGCTATTCTATATCACCAGCACTGCACATATCAATATTTCAGACCTTGTGCAATTGCAAGATGCCTTTGTCTCCTTTTCTCACGACAACGTGCAACTCTCTCACACGAAGGACCAGCCATGACATCGCAGACTTTAAGACACTAAGAATTCGCATCGACAATAGACCAGCATATAAACAGCAGATTATCACAATACAATTCATAAACTCATAGAAAGGGGCAATAGTATCGCAACATATCATGATAACGAAACCAAACTGTAGCAGGCAATGGGAATATACCTCTGTAACACGTTGGTAGACGCACGACGGAACACAGCGACAATTTCAAGTAACAGTAGATGGTGACAACATATCCTTTCTTGGCAATTTTCTTCACCAATGTCCTAAACAAGGTAGAAGAACACGTAGTTTGTCACCAAGAACAAGCAGACTAATATAACAGCAACACATGCTAACCTCGCCCAATACAAATAGGCGAATCTATGGAACCACCATTATTCTACCAATACACAAACACTTATAAGACCAGGCCCTACAGAGAATTTATCAGTTTCTACCATCTATCACAACCACCAGAAAGAGGCCCTATAGAGAGTACGACACCCTACCAACAATCTGAATTCCTAGGTAATCTTTGCATCATAAGATACCATACCAACATTTAAACCATAAAAAACAGGTAATGAAGTGATATGAAAAGCAGTAAAAAAAACTAACCACTGATCAGTAGGATATTGGTCGATCTCTGTTATTAGCCAAAGAATGGTTCTGGTGGTGTGCAGCCAAAGAGAAGACCTGTAATTTGTCACCGGTAACACTTAAGCACATAGGAAAGAAAAAGGGCTCAAGTGCAAGCCTTTCCATAATGTCAATGAACCTACCTTCCGAAGCCTGGTGCAGCGTGATGGGATAAGTCTCTATGGTTTTTTGAGGCTGCAGCAGTTTTTGTGGAGCTGGCTGCAGCAGCATCTTGACTGAGAGGATAGCATCCTTGTAGTTGTCTTGACTGAGAGGACAGCAGCAGCATCTTAGCTAGGACAGCATCTTAGGACAGCATATTAACATCTTAGACTAACATCTTGGCATATGTTTGGCTGGCTAGCAGCCTATAAATATGTATCTCCAACCCCTCAGGTTGGCATGGCATTGAGAAATAAACCAGAAAAATTGCCTCAACTCCTAGTGTCATCCTCTCTCGATGAGAGTAAGAATTCTGCTACTACCAAGAGTAAGAATTCAGCGACTAACAACTGGTATCGGAGACGTACTATCCTGTAGCCTGAGCATCTCCTGCTCATCTCCTTCCCCAGCCACACAACAGCCCCAGCTGCGAGCAGCAACAGCTCCGGCCGCTCCTGCTCACCCCTCCCCCTCTGCTCAGACGAGCAGTAGCTCCTCTGAAGCAGCCCTCTCCCCACGCAGCAGCCCCCTGGTAGCGCGTCATGTCCGCAGGGCAGTCTCAGTGCTCGGTCGCCTCGAGCACGCGGCGTTGGCAGGAGGCCGAACTTGCCGCGGTAGAGGAACACGAGCAAGCGGCGGCAGAGACCACAGTGGCAGCGGCAAGGGCGTCCCGAGGTCGGCAATGGCGGAGCCGGCAAAGCAGCGGCAGCGAGGCGGCGCGCAGCAATGGGCGGTGATTTAATGCAACGCGTCTGGCTGCAGCGAGGTCGAGGCTCGAACGGCGAAGATCGGCAACTCCATTTCCGCTGACGACACCGCCGACGCGGACCTCGAGCTGCTAGAGAGGGAGGCAGCGCGAGCGCGGGAGGCGCAGTGGGCAGCCGCGCACGCCCACGAGCGTGGCGGCAGCCTGCAACAGCGCGGACGCTGGCTGGCGGCGCTCTGGAGGAGGCGCGCGCGCGGCGGTGGCGCTCTCAGGCAGCAGCGCGCGCCCACGAAGCGTGGCGGCAGCCTGAACAGCGGAGCGCGCGGGCGCGCTCTGAAGGAGGCGCGCACGGCGGTGGTGCTCCTGGATGAGGTGCGCACGGCGGTGGTGCTCCTGGAGGAGGCACGCACGGCAACGGTGGCGGACGGGTCGATGGATAGCGCGGCCTTCACAGGCAACGTGGCTCTCTCTCCCCGGATCGGTACCGACGGGTCGATGGAGAGCACGGCCTTCACAGGCAGCGTGGTTCTCTCCCCGGATCGGTACCGTGGTTACCACGGGCTCCAGGCTGTTGTCAGGGACGTTGGTCCCAGCGATGGGTGGCCTACCCTCACTAAGACCAACTACGTCGAGTGGGCTGCGGTGATGAGAGTAAAGCTCCAGGTGCGGCACATGTGGGAGGCAGTCCGGTGCGGCGGCGACGCCGACTACGACCTAGATCGACGGGCGCTGGATGCCCTCATCACTGCAGATCCCACCCGAGATGCGATTTTAACAACCAACAAGCGATCGCCAAGGAGGCTTGGGGCGCCATCGTCATGCACGCGCGCGCAGCGTGACCAGCGCCCACAAGTCCACTCTGCAGGCACTTCGCAAGGAGTGGGAGAACCTAGCCTTCAAGCCAGGTGAGGACGTTAATGACTTTGCTCTCCGTCTCAACACTCTGTTGCAGAAGATGGTGCAGTTCGGCGATGACACCTACGGCGAGGAGAGAGCTGTCGAAAAGCTCTTCCGCTGCGTCCCCGAGAAGTACAAGCAGATGGCTCGCTCGATCGAGTCTCTGCTGGATCTCTCCACAATGTCGATCGAGGAGGCGATAGGTCGCCTCAAGGTTGTCGACGGCGATGAGCCACAGTCTCTCTCGGGGCCCATCACCACTGGCGGGAAGCTCCTTCTCACTCGGGAGCAGTGGCTTGCCAGCCAAGGTGACCGGAAGAAGGGGGAGCCTTCTTCCGCGACAGGCGGCCACAAGCGTGGCAAGGCGCGCAAGGCACGTAGAGACGCCCAGGCGGGGGCGCGAGGACGTGCTGAGGGTGATGCCCGCGGAGGCGCCTAGGGCGGCGCCGCCGGCAGGCACAAGCCGACACGAGACGACGCCTGCCGCAACTGCGGCCAGCTTGGCCATCGGGCCAAGGACTGTCGACAGCCATGACGTGGCCAGGCCCACGTTGCATAGGCGGAGGAGGAGCCGACTCTATTCATGGCACATGCAAGCATCGAGCTACCTCCAGCGGCACCGGCCGTAGCGGCTCTCCTCGGCGACAGCTCCGGCAACGACAAGACTGACGGGTGGTGCCTCGACACCGGCGCCACCCATCACATGACCGGTCGACGGGAGTTCTTCACCGAGCTTGACTCTAGCGTCCGAGGCTCCGTCAAGTTTGGGGATGCCTCCGGCGTGGAGATCAAGGGCGTTGGCTCCGTCATCTTCACCGCCGTGTCTGGTGAGCACAGGCTGCTCACCGGAGTCTACTACATCCCCGCGTTGAGGAACTCCATCATCAGCTTGGGACAGCTGGATGAGAACGGTTCGCGCGTGGTGGTTGAGGATGGAGTCATGAGGATTTGGGATCGCCGTCGTCGCCTTCTTGCCAAGGTAACCAGAAGCGCAAATCGACTCTACGTCCTCAACGTGTAGGTAGCACAACCCCTGTCTCACTGCTCGTCGGGACGACGAGGCGTGGCAGTGGCACGAGCGTTTCGGGCACCTTTACTTCGAGGCCCTGAAGTGGCTCAGTGCCACGGAGATGGTGCGAGGCCTGCCGTGCCTCGACCATGTGGAGCAGCTCTGCGACGTCTGTGTGTTGACGAAGCAGAGGCGACTCCCCTTTCCCCAGCGGACAAGCTTTCGAGCCAAGGAGAGGCTTGAGCTTGTGCACGGGGACTTGTGTGGCCCGGTGACACCGGCCAAACCAGGAGGAAGACGCTACTTCCTACTGCTAGTCGACGACCTCTCCCGCTACATGTGGGTGATGGGCCTCGGCAGCAAGGGAGAGGCTGCGGACGCCATCAGGCGCACGCAGGCTGCTGCGCACCGACAACGGTGGCGAATTCACGGCGGCTGAATTCGCGTCGTACTGCGCTGATGAGGGCATTCAGCGCCACTACTCCGCGCCGTACAGCCCGCAGCAGAACAACGTCGTCGAGAGGCGCAACCAGACGGTTGTGGGGATGGCTCGGACCCTTCTCAAGCAGAGGGGGATGTCGGTTGTCTTCTGGGGAGAGACGGTGGTGTTGACCATCTACATCCTCAACCGCTCACCTACCAAGGCGCTCGACGGCAGGACGCCATACGAGGCTTGGCATGGGCGCAAGCCGGCGGTCTCCCACTTGCGGGTCTTCACCGCTCGCGCGTTCGCCAAGGAGCTTGGCCACATCGACAAGCTCGACGACGAGAGCACTCGGGAGTGTTCATCGGCTACGCGGAGGGCTCGAAGGCCTACCGCATCCTCGACCAAGACACACGCTGCAGTGCGCGCGCGCGCCGCGCGGCGTTGTGTTCGACGAAAAAGCGAGGATGGGCGTGGACAAGCGGTGACGACGCGGCTCGGCTCCGGCGTCGACGACTTCACTATCGAAATACGTCCACTTCGAGAGAGCGGGGTAGTAAGCGGCTCTTCTTCGGCGAAACACGTCTACCCCAGTCCCTGAGCCTCCACCGACCCCGGCGCCTGCTACTCCGACAACACCACGCTCTCCAGCCAGGACCTCGGCTGCGATGAGTTCTTCGCTGGCTCCACCACAGCCGGCAATGCCACGCACTCCAGCACCGACAGGCACCACTTCGGGCACGTCTACTCCACCACCAGCTCGTGTCGAGCACAACCTGGTTGAGCTCGCTACTCCGCTCTCACGACGAGGAGCGCATCGACGCGTACCACAACGGCGAGCCGTTGCGGTACCGTACGATGGAGAACCTTCTCGGCGACCAGCCGGTGCTGGGACCGGTGCCTCACGACCTGGAGGCGCAGTTGCACCTTGCGTGTGACGACGGCGAGCCTCGGTCGTTTGCAGAGGCCGAGAGACACGCGGCATGGCGCGCCGCGATGCAGATTGGAGATGGATGCGGTTGAGAAGAACCGCACTTGGGAGCTTGCTGACCTTCCTCGTGGTCACCGCACGATCACCCTTAAGTGGGTGTACAAGCTGAAGAGGGATGAAGCCGGTGCCATCGTCAAGCACAAGGCTCGCTTGGTGGCATGAGGTTTCGTGCAGCAGGAGGGGGTCGACTTCGACGACGCCTTTGCTCCCGTGGCACGGATGGAGTCCGTGTGACTCCTCCTTGCGCTAGCTGCCCAGGAGAGGCTGGCGTGTTCATCACATGGACGTCAAGTCGGCGTTCCTTAACAGCGACTTGAAGGAGGAGGTCTACGTTTCACCAGCCATCGGGATTTACGATCCCCATCAAGGAGGGCAAGGTGCTCTGCCTGCGCAAAGCCCTCTATGGCTTGCGGCAGGCACCGAGGGCGTGGAATGCCAAGCTGGATTCCATGCTAAAGGGGATGGGCTTCGAGCAAAGCCCGCACGAGGTAACCATCTACCGATAGGGCAGTGGAGGAAATGCTCTGCTGGTGGGTGTCTACGTCGACGACTTGGTGATCACCGGCACCAAGGATGCGGAGGTGGCGGCATTCAAAGAAGAGATAAAGGCCACCTTCCAGATGAGTGACCTGGGGCCTCTCTCCTTCTACCTGGGAATTGAGGTGCACCAGGATGACTTCGGGATCACACTTCGACATACCGCCTATGCCAAGCGCGTCGTTGAGCTAGCTGGGCTCACCGACTGCAACCCAGCTCTCACTCCGATGGAGGAGAGGCTGAAGCTGAGCCGCGATAGCACGACGGAGGAGGTGGATGCTACGCAGTACCGGCGTCTTGTGGAGAGCCTTCGCTACCTCGCCCACACACGACCGAATTTGGCATTCTCCGTCGGCTACGTTAGTCGGTTCATGCAGCGACCGACAACGGAGCACCAAAGAAAGGTGAAGAGGATCATCCGCTACGTTATGGGAACTCTCGACCACGGCCTCTACTACCCTAGGTGCCCTGGGCGGCATACTTCGTCGGTGCACAAATGATAATGACCACGCCCGGCGACATCGACACCAAAGAAGAGCACACGCGGGATCCTCTTCTTCCTCGGCAAGTGCCTCGTTAATGGGCGATGGGTCAAGCAAAGCCAGGTGGTGGCCTGTCCATCCACCATGAGGCCGAGTACATAGCGGCCTCCACCGCTTTAAACTCAGCGCGCTCTAGCTCGCTCGACTGCTTGGTGATCTCCTCGACAGAGACACTAGAGCGGTGGAGCTCAGGGTGGACAGCAAGTCCGCTCTGGCCCTGGCAAAGAACCCCGTCTTCCATGAACGCAGCAAGCACATCCGGGTGAGGTATCACTTCATCCGATGTTGTTTGGAGGAAGGGAGTATCAAGGCGAGCTACATCAACACTAAGGACCAGCTTGCAGACCTGCTCACCAAGCCCCTTGGGTGGATCAAGTTCCTTGAGCTCTGCTCCAGGACCGGGATGGTTCAACTTTCCCACAAGACAACGCACAAGACTTAGGGGGAGAATGATGGGATAAGTCTCTATGGTCTTTGTGGGGCTACATCGGTCTTTGTGGAGCTGGCTGTAGCAGCATCTTGACTGAGAGGACAGCATCCTTGCAGCTGTCTTGACTGAGAGGACAGCAGCAGCATCTTAGGTAGGACAGCATCTTAGGACAACATCTTAAAGGACAGCATATTAGCATCTTAGACTAGTATCTTAGACTAGCATCTTGGCATATACTTGGCTGGCTAGCAGCCTATAAATATGTTTCTCCAACCCCTCAAGTTGGCATGGCATTGAAAAATAAACTAGAAAATTACCCTAACTTCTAGTGTCATCGTCTCTCGATGAGAATAAGAATTCTGCTACTACCAAGACTAAGAATTCAGCGAGTAACACAGCGTACAGCAACAGTGGGCAGCAGAGACAGATTCTTAGAGCTGCCTGAGAATCAGGGGACACAGTAACCACGGTTTAATCATAAAGCGAATATAAAGCATATATACTTTCTAATGTAGGAAGCAAGATCTATCTAGTGATTAATTAATGACCATAAGCACCAAGAGGATCATCGCTTTTTTCAGAATAAATCATCAAAACAACAGTTCCAGGAGCACAAACCACAATACCAAAGCCATCGAGCCAAGAAAGAATATTACTGTATTTTTTTCAACCAAAGAAAAGACATTTAGGCCACCACGCATGGTCAAGTAAGCAAGAGTGATGAACCACGGTTTCAACCAAAGAAAAGACATATAGGCCACCATGCATGGCCAAGTGAGAAAGATCGATGAATCCTGGCTATAAGTTCCTAAAGACGCAAAGCCTCAGACCATATACAAAGAATCATCAAGGCAACAGGACCCCAAATACTAAAAATGTTAAATCTGATAAATTACTGAAACATAGCACCACAAGCAAACCTAAGCCACAAAAAGATGCATGCCCAACCATAGACCTTATAAATAACCTCGATTCGTAACTTCAAAAGGCCAAACGAAATTGCCGTCTCAAGAAGGCAAGGGAAGGACATGCAGGCACGCGTACTACCTAAGAAGACCTGGCAGACTCATGTCACCGACGCCATCACCAGCAGAACAGACGTGGGAGAGGCCTCAAGATCTAGTTCTCACAGCACAATACCATGGGAGTGTGTACGGCAAGATGAACGAATGAAATTTCGGTTCTAGTTCTCACAGCACAAACGCAGAGGGAGGGAGCCGGTGTTTAGTTGGCCGAATTTTAGAATTTACGCTACCGTAGCATTTTCGTTTTTATTTAGTAATTAGTGTTTAATCATAGATTAATTAGACTTAAAACGTTCGTATCATGATTTTCTATTAAACTGTGTAATTAATTTTTTTTTCGTCTACATTTAATGCTCTATGCACGTATCGAAAGATTCGATGTGATAACTATAATAACATTTTTTTTGGAATTTTGGGTTTGGAACCGAAGACGGGCGGAGGCTCAAACCGGAGCTGTAAATAAAGAAGGTAGGTACAGTTACCTCGAGACCCGATGGCCGAGAGGGGCGCCGCGCCCATGACCCCTACGGCGAGGGGCGATGCCAGCCTGCTCCCTACTCCGATGGGACGGCAGCGCTGACCTCGCACTGTTCCGATGTGGCGGGGCCCAGCCACCCGTAGGGAGGAGAGGCCGCGCATGCGCCGGCAGCCACTGTTCTGATTTGATGTTCTCGGCTCGGGGAGGATGAATCCGGCGTCTGAAGTTCGGAGGAAATCAATGGCTACGGCGGCGTATCTACATCATCCTTTTTTTCACCTACAAGGCTACACTCACCGCAACTGAGCCCGAGCGAGTACATAAGGGCATAAGGCCCACCAGTCAGCGAACACCGCGCCAAACTCAACACGGCGACCTCACCTGCAAGCGCCGTGTCTCTCGGAAAAAATAAAAAAATAGAAAAAATCTGCAAGCGCCGCGAGCGCGTACGGAAGTGGCCGCACATCGAACCATGCGCAAATAGACGCCCACACGCTCTGTCGATCACCTCCTGTCGCTGCTGGTAGGGCCATATAAAATCTGGGACCACACGTCATCTTCTAATCTCCACGTGAAACAAGCAGCAAGGCGGCGGTGAACGTCTCGTATGCAAATTCTCACACCGTTCAACTCGTACCCATCCTCTTTCACGCGTGGACCTGCAACCAGATGGTACCCACCTGTCAGTGCTGCACCCCAGGAATCCAAAGCATTGCACGACGCTGGACCGAGCACGACGCCTGGCGCGCTCCACCGTGGGTTCGCGCGAAGCTACCGCCACGTGTCGAAACACCGATTAGTTCGCGAGGCCGAGAAGCGCGGAGGGAGCTCGAATTCGCGGTAGGTTTTAAGATCTCTGATTATCGGCAACTAGGAATGTAAACGGATTGGATTCACAAGGAATCAGATTTGGATATCACATTTAATTTCGAATTCGAATACGGATATGGATATTTTGAAATACGAATACAGAATGGATGTCTCAGATTCATATTTCAATTCGGATATTTACTCAATTCAACTCAAAGTGCATATTGTTAAATTTAACATACATGAATAGAATTTTACTACTAAATTCATTGATCAATATCGAAGTGAACTAAAATATAATATAGATCATATTTAATAAAATAATAGGTCAAGCGAAGAATTTCAAATAAGACTTGTAGACAACAAGTAGACATTATAATTTATCAATGTTTTTGTAATGACAAAATTATTACACAAGTAGATATTAAAGATGTGCTTATATAACATAGATAATGGCAACTCATAAGAAATAAAATAGTTATCAATAAATATTTAATAATTAAATATACAATTAATCAATCATTATTTATATAATATTTATCATGAAATTATAAATTATATAATTTACAACAAAACATATATTAGGTTTAAACTAAATTAAAAAAACACTATGATTAATTTATCCTTTATGTATTAATAATAATATTAAATTGATATTAAAATTTATTTATAAATATACTATTAAATAATTTCAATGCAGCATTAGTAATATTAAAATTAAATAATTAGTCACTTGTTATGGAGAGAAAACTTTTAAATAGATTTATTATACTTTGTTCTTCACGAATACAGATAAATGTTGGATATTGCATATTTTTGTGGAAGACTGATCTAAAATCGAACAGAGGAAAATACTGAAAAACGAATTCAGATTCGTCCATTTAGTATCATATTAAAAATGACTACGAATACATATATCCATATTATCAATTTTAGTGGATACCAATAAATTCGGATATCCATGTCTATCTTCTGTCCCTATCGGCGTTTCAGAACAAAAAATTGAAACGAAAAAGGCAAACACGGAGCTTGCTACATGCATAATAAAAAAGTAAACACGCTAATCAATTAATGTCACATCGAGAATTGCAAAATAAAAAAATTGCCACGTCTAATAGATCACGGATACATAATTGGATAAAAAATTATATTTCTTTCTCTTCTTATATGAATCCTGCCTCCAAAAATGTTTAGGCTTCCACTAAATTGCATGCGTATCTATCATCATGTCATTATCATTGAAACATACATTCGATTGGGTGCGCGGACGGCCCAGATCGGACGAGCCACGATTTTTTTGCAAAAAACACCTCGACCTTTAGTCGTATCAACCCATAGTCCAAACATTCTCGGATGTTTTTAAAAAAGCTCTTAAAAGGTAGTAATGTGGCAATTATAAATGACAACAAGGTCTTGACCGAAATCAACCCTCGATCCGGGCCTCCTCTTACGAACCTTCTCGCCTGCCCCCACCGCCGTTGCCGCCCTCGCGCGCCCCTTCCTCTCTCTCCCTCTCTCTTCAACGTGGCGGCGCAGCGGGAGGCCCAAAACGCTGCCGCCTCCGCGCGCTGCCTGCGGCCGGAGGCGCCGCGCCCGTACCCCGCCGTCCTGCACCTCCGAACCGCCGCCGCCGCTTGGCCTACCGCCCAAGAGGTCCGGCCACCGCCGCTCTCCACGCCGACGCCGGTCAAGCGCGAGATCACGACTGCGGCAGAGAGCAGCAGATCGGACGGCGGCGACGATGACGCCCTCTACGACCTCGTCAACACCTACATGGACCTGTACGGGCTGCCAGGATAACCGCGGCAGCCGCACCAGCGGCACCTGCGCGGGCAGCGCCATGGAGAGCCGGTCCACAGGCTAGGCGCCGCCTCCTGCCGTTCTCGCTCGGCGAGACTCGGGCCATGGTCAAGGAGTGGCTGACCAGACAGGCTCCTTAGCTAGCTTGCGATGCACAAGACGTGGCTGACCAGACGCGTGGCCGTCCCGACATGCGGCCACGGCGGCCCATGGTCACCGCGAGCGGATGGTCCGCGGCCACGGCGGTGCAGCGCCACTACGAGCCACGGCCGGCCGGCCTACTGTGCACACTGCTTGCCGAAGATGTTGAGCATGTCAGCAGATGCAGCGTAGCTCCTTCTCCTGTAGTAGTATCTATTATGCGTACAAGGTGCTCGATCAAATGCCGTGCCCATGCTAAATTTTATTATGGTATGCCTCTCATATCTGAATCTCCTCACTCTCTGCCAATTTCCAAGACTGATGAAATATTTGAATTTTCTGGAACTTTGTTTTGCCCTGCACAATGTTGACTCCCAACTGCAAGATTTTATTATTTTTCTTTCAATGTAAACACCTGTAGTTTTGAAGCCTAGGGGACAAATACGTTGAGAAGACAAAGAAAAAGGCTATCTAGAAATATTAGTGGTAGTATATACAACTACAACTCATAGCCTTGTATGTATTTCACCATTCAATTGCTGAGATTTGCTTGCACAGTCTGATTATAAGTGAAGTAATTTTCATATGAAAAATTATATAGCTGGTTTAAGAGAGATTGGTTTATAAGGAAACGTTGTGCACATATGCTGATATTTCTAAAAAAAGATACGGAATGTTGCCCATGTATTTGTAGGTCCCTTGTCCTTGCATGAGTTTTTCTGAGTCTGAATACTATTCTAAGCACCCATTTATGATAATCTCATCATGGGGACATTTAATCTTAAGTTATTATATGTCATTCTTCTGGTGGAAAGAGATTAGGGAACTAATATTAAACTCCACAGTGTCACTTCTGTTCACAAAGCCACGCACAGTTGATTTCGCTGTGCCTTATTTGGACCAATTTCATGCTTTGATAGCTATTTTGGGAACATATCACTATATCAGAGACTTATGCCCAACCCAGCTTCATATCCTTGCAATGCAAGTGCCATATTTTACATCAAAGTAAATCTTCATATAATATTCTTCAGTTCTGTTCTATCGCTAGCAGGCCATATGTATTCACTATCATGTTGGGTTGTTTGTTTTCTTTCTTTCTTTTGAGGAGCATGTGTGTTCCCACTCCTTTCTTCACAAGATGGACACTGGCAAATTGTTGTTCACTGACTGCCACCCAAGAGCTGATCATATGAATGATTTAAATTAATGGTGGTATACAGACCAGACCCGTATATCAAATTAGATTTTACTTAGTGCAAATGAATGATGATAAACATATGTTAATCTTTGTAGCTTTTGGGCAATCCAACTATGCCAATTTGGGAATCGCTGCCAAATTCCAGTATGCTGTAAACACAAATCTTCATACATTTACGCATTAAACAATAACTCGGACTCAATTCTAAACTAGATCAGTTCGGTTATTTGTGCCAAGGCCTTTGTGCAAATAGCATGCAACTCGCTAATTAAATTATGCACATCACATTTTTTTGAGCAACAAATATGCATATCACGTGTACCTCTTTATTTAGAGAATTCATTCCTTTTTTATTCTCACTTTCTAAGTAATTACAACTACTACTTCTGTTTAAGACCTTTTGTTATATATCGAATCACTGAATAATCACAAATTATCCATGAAATAGGCAGACCATACCAGAAGCCCATTGTCTGTAAATAAGCAGCTTATACAAATCTTAAAAAAGAAGCTTTTTGTGGTTTGTTTCTCATTATTGATAAACAATGCTTAAGACATTTTTCTCTTATTGATAGACAATTTAAGACACTTCTATACAATATTTACATTTTTAATTTGGGCCTCCTATATTGTTGCTTCAATTTTATACTGCAAACTTGAATCACTGGTGTTCTATATGTTCCAAATGAATTTACGCCATTACACTCCAATTAAAGCACCACTGAGGATATAAACATACATATCTACCATTTTCATATTACCCAGTATCCTACACAAAATTAAGTTTTTTTTTAGAAACACAAAAATAAGTTTTTTTTTAGAAACACAAAAATAAGTAAACAGTGGCCATCACAAGATGGCGCGGCAACACCGCGCCCCATTTTTTCTAGTTTATCCTATTCTACAAAATAAATAAATAAATAAAATAAATATTCACATATTGCCACCTACAAGGTACTCCCTCCCTCCCAAATTATAAGTCATTTTAACTTTTTTGAGAATCAAAGCATCTCAAGTTTGACCAAAATTATAGAGAGAATTACAAAAATTTATGACATCAAATAGATATATAAAAAAATATAATTAATGAAGAATCTTATGATACAATTTAGTCAAACTTAATATGCTTTGACTCTACAAGAAAGTTGGAATGACTTGAATTTGGGATGGAGGAAGTAATAGATAATTATAACCATTCAAACTAAATTAAATGAATGATTTACAATTATTTTGGAATAACGCAGCAAAGCTCGTCACATTTCTATAGGCCAGTGCAAATGGTGTGTTCTGTTATAGTGAATAAAAGAGATAAATGAAGTAATGGAACGCTCTTTCTTGAGTTTTATGTGCTTGGCTTTAATAGAACCAATGGTTATTGGTTACCACCAACTTGCCATTCCTCGGTAGCAAAATAATTGATGGACCATTTCTCATTCAATTGAAACCCCTGTTCCATTGAGGCTGGATCAACCGGAAACACATGCCGGCCGGTAAGCTTGGTACAAAATTCTCAACCAAAATAAGCTAAAGAATCTCTGAAAATGATAACGACTGGTTACTTGATCAAATCAATTGTTCATATCACGTATGAAGCTTTGATCTCTGTGGCTACCTGTTCACTGTCCACAATTTGGTAGCCTTTGGTATCATGCTCCAGTTCTGTACAGAAGCTGCCATTGATTTCTGATTCTGGAATCTGGATACTCATCCAAACTATGTACATATGTCTCACAGATTCAGGCCAAAATTGCAGCTAACAGAAGCCTACCAACAAACAAAGAAATAGAAAAAGGCATGTCGAAACATTTACTGGCTCCTAATTGCTTGATCAATCATGCCAGGATATGAGCATGGCTACGCATCGGCGGATGATGTAGAGCCTGCCCTTCTGCTGCTTAAGCGCCTTCCTGAGCTCCTTGAACTTGAGATCATGAGCACCCATCCTTATCTTCATCTTCAGGCGCGTAAAGGTTGTCGACTCCAAAGATGACGGTGAGAAGAAGGATTTCCAGTTGGGTATGGATTTCTGAATGGAACTTTGGTGTTAGTTTGGTCCAGGCATGGAGTTGTGCAGTTTATATAGGCAGTTATCATGTGGGCTACGTCAGCTGATAGCCGGACATCTATCTTAATTAACTTATCATTGAGTTCATGCTTGCCGTAAAGAAATAAAGTCTTATGTGATCTTGGAGTTATTTACTCTAATTCGCTGATGCCTATTTGACTTGATGGTACTCTAATATATAGAACTGTGTGCACTGCACGACTCATGAGTCATGACAATTATCATCAGGATACCAGGCACCAGACTGCTGTATGACAAATGAATTTGTTTGTCTAGTAAAAAAACCATTTCCAGTGACTTATATGGCTCTTCATAAAACGGTTAACCCAGGCTATAACTGTACAGTGAAATATTTGTTTTCATACGAATGCTTTGTTTGGATGCATATGTATCTCCCAATTCACATGTGTTAGAGTGGAATGGAATAAAATTTAGTTTAATTTCATTCTAATACACTTCAACATATGTGGATTGAGATGAATACATGCGCGTCCAAACGAGGCCGAAGAAGGGAAATGCGACCTCTGGTATGGGATTTTATTAATTTTTTTGAAACGAACTGGTACGTGATTTTATTAGATGATAACACAATGTAAGCCGCCCGGAGTAGTAAGTTAGAAGCGGAAGCGTTTATTTACTGGAATAATGTGGCTTCCAGGTTTAGGGATAACGTAAACAAATCATGGAAGAAAAGGAACTCAAGTAAGCCAATGCCAATTAAAGCAAAGTCAATGGCTACAGTTTTGTATGGGGATACAAATAAAAATTAAAGGTCAGCCTGTAATTTACACTGATAAATGCAAAGTAATGTCAACGAACTTATTCAATATATGAGCAAGGTTTTGACCTAACAAAAACATATGACGACAAACGGATCTATATTTGTACATAAACTAAAATTGAGCCCACACATCGTCGATGTTTACTCACAATGGACGCATGGAGCATTATATTCCTGGTAGTTTCCTCACAATGTCAGCTCAGAAAAGATTTACGCTCATTTTTCATTCATCTGCAGTGAGTTCTGACGACTGGCTGTTGGGGGGAACAACTAGTAAGAACAGAGCAAGGAAACTGATCGAATCTTCTGATAATGTAAAGGTCAACAGGAAGGGTGGTAACAAGTGAAAGTAAAGTATCCATAGTCAACTACTCGTACTTCTGCACAGTCAGCACAATTGGTAATCAACGAATCCTGGGTGTGGGCAGTTACAAGTCAACTGAGCCCATGATCGTCACAGCACATATTCAGTTCAGATAGGTGAAACTCCAAACAATACGCGTTTGACCTAATTAAATTACATCCCTTATTATGCTAGTAGTACTTACGTACAATGCATCTGCCACTAATTGCTTACTTCTCCAGGTTAATGAAATGATTCGATACTTGCTCCTGATAATTAATTTGTTTTTGCAGGACGACAGTCCTGGCCGAAGTTACAACAAGCAAATTATGTATATGGTGAAAAAACACAATAAGGTCGAACATTATTACAATTCACACAAAAAAACGACATTTATATTAAGAGAAATATGAGATACTCTAAAGTATATTCGGGGGGAAGACTAACACCGATTAATTCTGTCCTAAGTAGTCTACCCATGTATATGATGTCTTTCTTTGCAATACCAAGA